TGAAGCAGAGACAGAGATAGAAAGATCTGAAGAACATCACGCTGTAGAAGAAACAGAGAGAAAAGAGGAAGCAGCACCAGAACCAGAAAACCAGTCAGACTCCCAGAGACTTTCACCTCCTCAGGACCCTGAATCTGCCACAACGCTGCATCACCAATCAGAGAGCGAAGCAGAAGAATCTGCCAAAACCCACAGCGAGGACATTTATCCCACATCGCCGAGCAGCGACAAAGAGGCCGAGGACGCCTCTCTGAGCAGCACTTCAGACCAAACCACTGCAGGCTGGACTCATCTGAATGTAGCCGAAGCCTCAGAGGACCAGCAGCGGCTTCAGGCTTCGCTTTGTGCCGGAGAATCAGACTCCACAGACCCTGAGCTGCTCACAGGTAAGAGTCCAATAGGTGCTCTGAAGGTTTCAGTCCAGGGTGGTTTTGGCGACACCTGTGGTCAGTGATGGTAACAGCAGATACATTTTATTAATGTGCAAAATATAAGATCAGAATTAAGTTTCTGTGTTTTTAAAAGGACGGCAAGGAAAGAGAAATCTGTGTCTTAATGAATAAAGTCTGTAAAGTCTTAACGAAACATTACAAAGACATTAGAAATAGCAGCTTCGCATTAAAATCTCTGATACGACTGTAGACAGAGCTGCAAAGATTAATCAATCGTCAACCATTAAACTAATCGACAACTATTCTAATAATCAATTTATCTATTGGAGTAATTTTATTAGGAAAAGAAGCCAAATGTCTTCAATTGCAGCTTCTTAAATGTGAATATTTTCCGGTTTGTTGACAGGAAACTGATATTTCTAATCTTGGGCTTTGATAAACTGTTTTCTCACCATTTTCTAGACCAAACAGCAAATCGATCAATCGACACAGTAATAACTGCAGTCGAAGTTGCTGAGGCGTATCAGCAAACAGGAGAGCTTTAAGTCACAACAATGTGCTAAAATCCCACGTCCTGCCGCTACATTTGAAATCAAAGAAATCTAAGCTCTGATATTCGGACTAAGTGTGACAATACGAAGGCTGGAAACCTGAAGAAACTCTGGTTTGGTTTCATTCAAACCTTAAAGGAAATCTTCGTGATCATGTTGCTTTATAAATGCGCTTTTCTCCCTTTAAGGCTTAAAATAAACACCAAAGAACTACAGTTAATGGCATTAAATGCATAAGTGTAGATGACATCATTTATGTGACTTGAATACACAAGTTTCTTAAAAAAAAAACATTTACATTTTACATCCCTCACATATCACATGTACAAGTATTCAGTTCTTGGGGTTCACATGCTGAACTTGGTTGCAATGAAGATGGAATGTGGACCCCAGCGTCCAACGAGGGAAAGATCAAACTGTTTCTTATTTATTTCAATATAATTTACCATCTGGTTTTACAAATATGTGAAGAAATAATAGCAAGACCGTAAAACTTTTTGGTTGTAACTCTAAAAGTTTGATTTATTTCTTCAGTAATGTGGATGTTGCACACTTTGATTTGGAGCGATCAGTGTGGGGAGGATGTTACGTAACTGCAGCACTGATTGGCTGGAACACAATTACTCAAAGTGGAGATTCAGGCCAGAGAGTTAATTCATTCATTAAAATCTCATTAAAATTCCACAAAGATGACACACACAGCTGCCAAAAAAAAAAAAAGCTCCACAGAGCAAATGAAATGTCCCCGTGTTGTGATTTTAATGAGTAAAAATAAAAAATCACAGATGATGCTTGTGTTTCCAGAGCTGCAGGCTTCAGGTTGCAGGTTGAGGGAGAAGAAAGTGTCGCTGCCGATGGAGGACGAGCTGGAAAATAAAGACCCTGGTCCGAGCCAGAACTCATCCAGCACAGAAAACCCTGTGGTGGAGGAGACAGAGAGCAAAGGAAAGAAAGACGAAGGAGGAGGAAGCTCTCCCAAGATGAACGGAGATGCAGATGACAAGAAGAAAGACAGCGGTCAGCCGTCCAAGTACAAAACTGTGTCCTACAGGAGGATCCGCAGAGGAAACACCAGGCAGAGGATCGACGAGTTCGAGGCCATGATGAACTCATGATGGAGCCTGATGAGTTTCTACATTACAGCACCGCTGTCATCTGAGATTATAGAGTCTGTGCATGTAGAAAATAACAGAATATGATATGAATATGAGTAATAGGCAGGCCTGCTCAACACAAGACATTTAACATGTCATTATACACACTAACACAATGATACCCAGAAGTGTATCGTTGGCTGTTTTGTTTTCTAGTTAATGTGAACTTCCCAGTCTGATAATCACTCTTGTATCATATTTATGATTTAATTTAATGATATTAAAGAGCCTGAAGTGCCATAAAGAACTCTGCTTTGTCTTTTTGTTCTCATCAAATACTAAAAACAAATCTGCCTACATGTGTTCAAACCCCAGAGAGTTGATAGAAGTCTTGTAGAGACTATATAAAAAACTTACTAATGACTTCTTTTGTTTTACTTTCATTTAGCTTTTAGTTTTTCTATTACCTCCATATTGTTGTATTTTATATTTGGATTGTTAATCGATTAACTGCCATTAATAATTGAAACGATTAAAACAGATGCATGTCAGGAATGTATTTATGTATTATGGCTTGGATCCTACAGTTTTATTTATTGCAAAACCTAACGTGACGAACATAAATATTAACAATACAATAATAGATACAACACAAATTCACTGAATTAGTATAAATTGTTATGATTAATTATGATTCAGGCGCTGCAATATTGTTTGTTGTTTCAAAAGAATTTTTCATTATATCATTATACTCTACAGTATTACATGTGATATAAATTTACCTAAAATACCTTTAAAAATCAAGATTTAAATTAAACAGAAAGATAACGGGTCATGTGAGGTTAGCGCATCAGTCTAAGGACTACAACTCCCACAATCCCCCGCGCCTGTCAGTGACGTCACCCGGAGCCCGGACCCGGCGTATCGGTGTAGCCGCGGTGTTTGTGTATCTGCCAACAACAAAAGACTGTTTTTGAAACAGTTAGCGGCATTTTCTCCAACACAGCAGCTTTGTGGACTTTTATCACAGGTATGTTTGTGAGCGAAGTAACGCCTTCTAGTAAAACTTGTAGTTTTAGTTTGAAGTTGTGGCCGCAGTTTTAATTTTTAATGCTGAAGTTAGCAGGCTGGCTAAGTGGCTAGCAAGATGGCTCCGACTATTTACTGCGAAACAATAACAAAGACTGAGCCACGTTGCTAACTCGAAAGTGCTTTTAATGTCGTTTGGTGGCTGCAGAACATAATGTGTTATTTCTCAGGAAAGTTTAGCGGTTTTTAATCGGCGCTGCTGCCGGTGTTCACCCTCCGTTTCAGGCTCGGAGCGATGACACCGCCGCTGCTAGTGTCCGTTGGAGGAAGAGGAAGAGGAAGGAGGCGATGATGAGGATGATGACATGCAGTTAGCTGGCTGCCTGGCTGGCTGACGGACGGACCAGAGCCCGCTGAGAGTGAGACGTGTCCCCCCGAAACCCGAGCAGGATCCGGGACGCAGAGAGGCGAAGATGCCGCGGAGAAAACAGTCCAATCCGCAGCCGGTCAAATGTGAGTTCAGCTGCTTCTGAGCTGCTTTTCTGACCACAAACCTTAAATAACTGACACCGGATTAGGGAAGTGGCTGTTTAGTTGCTTTTTTTTCCACTTCAAAATATATTTCGATTAAGTTCAAAGCCATTTTTAACGAGTTCTAAAGGTTTGCTGGGTAGACAGTCACAGTAAAAGTCGCCTAACTGGTCTGACATATTGATTCTACAGGCTTGGTCCCTTCCTCATTATCTGTGAGAGAGGAAGACTGCTGGAGACTGTTGTCCTTTCAGTAGATGTGTTTGTGTGTTATCTCATCCTGAATGTTCTGCCTCAGTTGGACTCTCCACCTCCTCTCTTCCTGTCTCCACTTCCACCTGACCTCCCTCTGCTCCCTCCTCTTCTTCCCGTCCTTCCTCTCTTTCTTTCAGGGCTTCCTGAAGGATTTCTCTCTCATTCCCTTCCTTTTTTTACACTCTGGTTTTGTTTCAAAGCGCTACTCATGGTTATTCTTGCATTTTTAGTTTGAGTGTGACACAGTCAGACTTTGTTTGTGGTAGCTGGCTGGACAAAACCTAAAATCCCGAGCAGAGATAATGAAAGTGAGTCAGAGATTCATGGTGGTGGTTTTTAACTTTCTTTGTTAAACAGGTTTTCTTCACCCTGTGCTCCCATTAAAGGAGCCGTTTGACAGAAAAGTCTTCTGGACAAGCTTCACTCGATAGGAACACGCTGTTATATAGGGAGCTATGAGAACTCTGAGCATTTATTATGGTTAAAAAAACAACTCTTACTGCAGATATGACAAAAGAGGAATGCTGGAAAAAAAGATAATATCTCTGCTTTCCCACATAGTGACTCTCAGTTGCTTACAGCTGCACATTATTAGGGCTCCGAAACTTTAAGCTTCATACATGCAAACATGATACTCAACATTTAGGTCTGACACTGTCCCCTCATGAAGGATACGTGGAAATCACTTTAGTTTTTGGACATATTAAAGCTAAAGATTGTCTTTTTAATCAAATATTCTCTGTGATAAACACAAACAGGCTCATCAGTTTTCTAATCTGTGTTCTATCAGCTGCAGCGCTAGCAGAGTCAGACAGACTTGGCAGCAAATCGGGACCAAATATATGACCTTATTAATGTCTTTTCTGCATCACTAACTGAGCGCGTGCAGTTACTGTGGCAACGTGACGCATACAGTTTACCTGCCGCAACTGCAGGGCTACATTCAGTGCAATCACTGACGTACAGCTCAACGGGTTTGCAGTAAAACTTCAGCTGAGAATCTGGATTGCTCAGAGAAAGAGTTTGTGAAAGTGAGACGCTTCTTACAGCTGATTTGAAACTCTGAACAGAACCTCCTCCAGAGCAGGTTAACTGTGCAGCATCAGTTACCATGGTGATCCAGTAGGTTAAAAACAAGCCACCTTTGCAACTCAACGTACCTCTTAACATTAATCTTGCTTCGTGGGGCGCCGCTCTCGCTCACCTGGTTGAGCTGGCGTCAGGCATGCACAGGGGCTATAGTCCCCAATGTGGAGGTAATGAGTTTGAATCCCACCCATGGCCCTTTCCCCCATTCTTCTCCCCCACTTTCCTGTCTCTTTCTCAACTGCACTCTCAAATGAAGGCAAAAAGGCCAAAAAAATAACTTGCTTCGTAGTGCAGTCGTCTGTTCAAAATGCTCAGCAGCTTGTTTATGTGAACTCAGCAAGTGCGACCAGACGGCATCATATTTATTATATTCAGGGTGGGGGATGTTTCCTGAAGGACTCCAGATCCTTGACAATGCTTTCATCTAAAGCAGCCTCTAAATGTCAGTGTGCATGTGTGCAAGGAATCTTTATACTTCTTTTTTTTGTTTGTTTGTTTTTACAGTCTCACTGTAAGTGAAAACAAGCACCACATAGCTTGTGTAAGTCCGAATATGTCGGGCTTTCACACTTCAACACTTTGCTTCTTCTAAAATATTTCACACAATCTGCATCCTGCAAAAGGAGCTGAAACGGCACCTCTCTAAAACAGCTTCAGCACCAACTGATCATGACAGCCTGCATGAAGTGTAGCAGTGCTGTTGTGTTAGGCTACATCAGATTTAGCTCGCGCTTTCAGACAGTATTTTTTTCGAATGCCTTTGTGGTGTTTGAGAGAGTTTGAGACCTCGGTTGCTCTCGAAGCTCCACGCAGCAGCTCAGATGCGTAATGAAGTGCATGTAGTAGTTGAGTCGCCACTTTTAGAAGTGCAGTTTATGAAGGTTGCTGCAGTACATGTAAATGTGCTTGTGTGACTGGGGATCATATCAGCGTTCTTTTGGATATTTGTTCTCTTCAGCTGATCTGTATCAGTATCAAACACACTTCTGCACACAGTGTGGCCTTGTAGCCAGGTGAAGGTGTAACACAGAAATGTCGCAAATAAGTGTGTTTTTGTCTGTTTGAATCTTTTGGATAAATTCATCCCTCTCCTACACACCAACCTCATTAAATAGGTAGACAAGCTCTTTATCTTGCGTATCTTTTTTTAACAAATAGATCATTAAATACTATTAATAATTATCAAAGATTTAATTGTAATGTATTTTTAGTTTATATGGCCCAGCCTGGTCTGCAGGCGTCTGAGTGACATTATTTTCAGGGTTTACGTGATCTGTGTGGATGTTGTCGTACAAGAGCACCAACTACACGTACACTGAATTGTTTTTATTCATAGCGGACATACACAGAATAAACACATATCAGTAAACTGCATGTGTGGCACTGACAGTCCAATCTGAAAAAGTTTTTATTCTTAATTGCTTTCATCTAAAATGTCCGTCTTTAGCTGTCTAATTTATGAGCATCCCTACAACACTATTCAGTTAATTATTAAAAAGGATGAATAAAAGCAGAAACTCTTGGCTATCAGTTAATCATTCATTAAACAGTGGCTGAACAATAAGCCTCCACATTAATTGTTTCAGCAGATAGTGGTTGCATATTTTAGAAAACAAACAACCAATGTTTAACTTGCAAATTCAATTTCGTTCTAAAATTAATAAGTTGGACCAAAACAAACGATAGTTTGTCGACCAGGTTGCAGACTAATTAATTCACTTCAATATTATTACCAACAAAGTTTTATGTTCATTGTGGAGACATTGAGGATTGAAGCTGAGTCACTTTTGTGTTTCATTAACTGTCCAAAACAAAAAGACAAGTAAGTATAAAAATGTGTTGGACTCTGTTTCCTCTTCCTGATGCTCAGCTTCACTCCTCATCCTCCAACTCTTCCTCCTCTCAACTTTTCTCTTCCTCACTGATTTCCTTTGCTTTCCCTCTCCGTCTTCTTCTCCGTTTAACCTCTTGCTTTTGCTTCACCTTCTTTCTTCTTGCTCATCCTCTTTTCCTTTTTCTGGGCACAAATCTGTTTTTTTTTTTTTTTCTGCCTTCTGTCTTGTGTCTCAAAGTTCTCTTTTCAGCCAGTCGCTTGTCACACATATTTATACGGTCTATCCAAATAGAAAACGTCATTGTTTGAACTGTGAGCTTGCTTTTTTTGTTTAATTGAAATCATTTAATGATTATTTATTACTATTTAAGACCTTTCTGTAATACAAGCAGTGGACAGATCCTCATTCCATATTAGAGGAAGCTTACATTTATTGCATAAAGCAGTTGCATGTGTCTACTAAATAAAAGCACATATAATAATTAGTGTCTTTATTTGATGGTAGTATGGACAGGTTGGATCATAAGTTCACAAAAGGAGTTTTAAAACTAGTAAAAGTGAAGCAGGCTTTCTAATTACACTCAAACTCTTAGTGCTCCTGGTTGGAAATCTATGTTTAACATGTTTAAAATCTGTAGTTTTCTTATCAGGTGAAATGTTTGGAGGCGTGTTTTGACATGTTTTCTAGAAGAAAAGATGATGGATTTTCTGTGTTTGTGCTCAGTGGAGTCGGAGGATGGCGCGGTGGTGTGCGATCCGAGCTGCCTGGTTTTGGAGAGCGACTTTCTGCTGAGCGGAGAGCTGGAGTTTGGAGACTCGGAGATCATGGGTCTGGACAGAGAGAACGGTCAGTGACACACTCAGGTCGTAAAACAGGCACCGTACTGAAACATTTCAACTCTGTCTGTTCAGTTTTTCTCTCTACAAGACCTTTTGGTTACTCGGGAGCGTTAAATTATAGATCTGTATAAGTGGGGCTATTTGACAAGTTAAAAAACAAAACATTATAAGGTTTGATGGTAAACTTTTCCTCTTAGTTTCTGTTTATTACAGCTGAATTTTGTGAAAGCTCATTTTTCACTTAGAAAATAAAATTTTATTGAAAATGGAAATCTAAATTATAGGATTAAGAAGTTGAAGTTATGAGTTAAAGGTTATAAGTTACAAAGTTCAAATTTTCACTTTTTTTTTTTGAAGTTTTGACTTTTTAATCACATCTTTGACTTGAAATTGTTACTTGTCTTTATTTTTCATATATCGGGTGTGAATGTGCTTCACCAGATGATGCTTTAGTTTAAGGTGTGTATGTTCTGTAGGTGTAACTAAAGGCTGCTCAGACCATCTGAGCTGTTATTGATGAAATAAAGTGTGTTAGGCTGGTTCAATTAAACCGGTGTTTAAATAAGGTGTCTGTTTTACTGAAGTTGTTCTTTGTGTCTTCAGGTGTGACGGTTTTCTCTCTGAGTGTGGAGGACGACTCCTCAGCACCGACAGACTCCACCTTCCCGGCGTTTCTGTCCTGTAAAGGATGTGGTCAGCTCCTGGGGGACACACCTCTGGGAGCAGGCTTGGATCTGGGTAACTGTTTACATTTATTAGGCTATCTAAGATGCTTCATCAGAGATCAGCATGCTTCTTTTTAGACCCTAAAAATGAAAAAGATTTTGAGTTTATTTGGCTTGCAGAGAGATTTTAGACGATGCCATTATCAGGCTTCTCTGTTTCACAGCTTTTCTTTTAACGCTGATATAGTTTCCAGTCTGTAATATGAAGTTAAAGTCAATTTAAAACTGTTCTCCTCTCAGTCTGAGTCCGTCAGGAAATAGAAGTCTGATTACTTTACCCACTAAAAAATGTCAGATAACATTTCTGTTGTCCATAGAAAGTAATCATCAGTTGCCGCCCTTGTTGGCACTGAGCTGCTTTCTTTGTAGAGACACATTCGGTGTCTGATCTCTGCTGGTGTTTCCTTATATTTGCTGTTCTCATTTGAAATTCTGTTTACTTGGTTCCAGGTGTGGGCCTGGACCTGGGGGCGGAGCTTTATTGTCTCACCTGTGAGGAAAGCTTCCAGCACGCCGCCTCCATCGACTCCTCTCAGGTGGACGGATCAAACCTGTCAGACAGATCCATCAACGGTGGCTCTGACGGGAAGCGAAGAAGCATCGACAAGCCGAACGGCCCGGCTGACATCCCCACTAAACTGTACTCCTGCTCGCTGTGCGCCTTCACCTCACGCTACTCCAACCACCTCAAACGCCACATGAGGATCCACGACGGCCAGAAGCCGTTCCGCTGCCCGGTCTGCCCCTACGCCTCGGCCCAGCTCGTCAACCTGCAGCGCCACGCCCGCACGCACACCGGGGAGAAACCGTACCGCTGCCACCAGTGCAGCTACGCCTGCAGCTCCCTCGGCAACCTGCGGAGGCACCAGCGCATGCACACGCAGGAGCGACCGCAGAGGAGGGAGAAGGAGAAAAGACGAGGGAGACGGAAAAAAAACAATGCTGGAACTGAAGAAGGTAACCACATGCACACAAAGTGACGGCAGAATTAGATTTATTTAAAACAAATCGATATTTAATTATTTATTTGATGGATAGAAAATGTAACTGCAGCAGTTTCTCTCGCTTTTCTCTGGTTTTACATCATATTGAGGGGAATTTTTTTTAGCTTTTGGACAAGTGGTCAGGTAAAAAACACCTGATCGTTTCATCTTATACTCTGGAAGCTCACTGTGAACTGTCTTCTAGTGGTTAAGCCTCTGAACTCCAAGCTGTTTCCATTTATTTGCTCCTGTCACATTCTTCTCCCTGTGAGCTCATTTTTCACTGCAATATAAAGTCGTGCACCTCTATGGAAACAGCACCAGAAGCAGACAGGCAGGCTTTGGGGTTCACAGGGTTAATAATTCCTTAATCTCAGACATGGAAGTCAGAATAGTTTGACTAAACCTGAATTTGACTCTGCTTATATTCTGGATGCTGATACTGGCACTGGACTCTACGTGTCTTTTTTAATAATTTGACAGACAGTACTAACTAGATTCAGTAAAAAAATACAAATCTGCAATTTCCGGTGCAGTCATGAAGCCTTTAATTATTCAAAAATTCAGGGATGTTTTGGCTAAAGCGGGCTGAACTGCAGGCGGTGTTTACACAGAGCAGATAGGAGACGAGGATGGAGACAGAATACCTACAGCATGTGAAACCAACAATGTTTTGGGTGTTGGTGACACCTATGGACACGTGGAAAAAG